AGCTCTGGAGGTCGAAAAGATCTCTAGAAACTGCTCGTACAAACATGTTTTCACTGATTTCGACTGCTTCTTCTCCCCTCCCATAAGGATCTCACGCAGTGAAAGGGAACCGGACCGATCGGACACGGCACGGCTTTCTTCTAGCGAAATGGACGCGGAATACTAACACGACAATCTGCTACATGTCGCCCTTTATGAGCAATTTCTCACACGAAAAAAGTAGCCCGATGGAAGATTCGGGAGGTCGTATGATCCGTGTCGAAACCGCGACGACCGCTGGCAAATGGGCATGAAGAACATATGAAAGTAGACGGAATTGGGCCGTATAGAACTAGCAAGCAGCCACTTTTTGCCCACCACTGTGGTGAATTGAAGCCTAAGTGCGCCCATATACAGGGTGCGCCAGTTTTACATCGTAAGAGACAAGAAACCACTCAAACATGTACATAAACTATGGCAGTAAAAGATATCTGTCAGGAGTTCCCAAGTAACCCTGCTTTATTGCACGCCATATACTCGTTTTCCTTTCAGAATTACGGTACTGATTGGAAGGTCCAAATAGGGCAGCGCTAACGATAAAAAGAGGGATCTACGAGATAGGTCGAGTGTTGAACGGCAACTGATCGCGAGCCAGGGAATTGGTTGAGCATGGACGGTACCAGGACATGTAAAGGCCCAAATAGCGCCGATTTTTTGCGCCTAAAGGCCTCTAATTGCCACAGTGACCAGGTCCGCTTTTGGACGAGAAAAACAAACCTTCAATCTCCGTGAGAATCGATGACAAAAGTTGTTCGTCGTCCGTATGCTGCGCACTTCGCACAAGTTCTTCCAACACATCCGAGGCCAACGGCTGTGAAACTCGTCCGATATTGCCCATAATCTGAAATTTTCAAAAACTGCGCCTTTATTTAGTCGAAGACTGAAGCTTCTGAAGTTGGACTTATACTTTTTCAACTCTACACAAAGCGTTCAATAATCATGTGGGGCTTGCCGGGGCCAAAGAAAGCCATTTAGTGGTCCTGTGCTTTTGCTGACATTCCACTGATGGAGAATTACAAATGGCACAGCAAGAGAAACACTAGGTGTGTTGAATGTAAGCAGCTCCTTTATACATTTATGCGAAGAAATATTCCAGCTGTTTACCGTTCTTTGACATCAGAAGTTAGGCCCCGCCCACCGAGCAAACTCCGCCCACAGGAGAAGAGCGCATAAAACGGCTGTTTTCACGCGCATTCTGACACATTCGTGTATACAATTGTTACAACGAGCAAAAGATAGATCCCATTCTCGTCCCTTACATAATTATAGCTACACGCTTCACGATAGGGCCAAACATTCCAGACCAATGCTAAGTGAGGATGAAAAGAAAAGGGGTAGACCAGGTGCTATTGACAAATAACGCTACATAAAAATAATACACAGAGCCAACCCCACACATAACAAAAAAGGGAGCTGATCGACCAGGTATAAAGCTTTTGTCGTCATTTCCCAGGATACGCCACGCACTCCTGTTCTATCGGGAATGACCTAAGGGAATTCAATGCATACAATAGCCAGCCGATGGAGAAATTGTTTCTGTCTTCCCCTCTAGCAAATTGAGCACCGATTTAGTAGCCCAGAGAAGTGGAGGGCTGTCTTTTCTGGGCGATATTCAGCCCGGGACTTGACCTCCAAACGATGAGAGTGACAGGGGCGTCACATGCCAGCCTCAACATTGCAAAAGTGGGTATCAAATTGCACAAGCCAGAAAGGAAATAAAGCGCGACAAAGAAAGATAGCGTGTATGCGGCATTAATAGCGCTTAGTTAACCCAAAATAACCCAACCCAAAATAACCCACAACTTTCTTACCTTATAGAAGGTGGCGAGGTTTCCATTGAATGCCGGGTTGTTCGCATGCTTTTGACAGAGTGGGAAGGAACGGGGCGAGAGCATGAGCTCGACCCTGCGATATCAGCACATGTAAAATTTCGTACGCACTGGGCAGTGGACGGCGAAAACAAAGAGTTTACCCATTATTGCGACCGACATGCGCAACTTTTGGGACATCGCAATATCCACTGGCTGAAGTCATTTGAATAAGACTGGACTCACATCTGGTTTCTCGTTAGCTATCATACTTGCCAACTGAAGTAACGAGAGTTTCTCCGAGCAGTCCGCATCTCTCAGTACTGACAACAACTGTGGTATGTGAGCATGAAACGGCTCACGATTGTCCGCGTAGACTTGCGGTAGAACTCGTAACAAGGAATGATTACCTGGAAACAAATACCTTCAGCAGCTAATTGGAAATGAAGTGGAATGTCAGCACACGTTAGCTCTTAGGTTAGTTTGCCCTATGAGAGAGACTATAACCTAACCCACCTCCAATAGATAGCCATAACCTGACCCCCCTTCGATAGATAGCTCAGGTGGGGGTTTGAGCAGGAAGGTCTGACGATTCCTCATCTCTTCAAGAGATTAGGCTTATTTGATGCTGAACAGCATGTAACATTGATCTTTTCACATCCATGGTCTAAACTGTTTTCCTAACCGCTTCGTGACCGTACGCGTCCGTGACCCGTAAACCGCATTACTAACTGGATGCAAAGACAGAAAAGTGTCCTTTAATCACATAATTAAACACCTAATTTACTACAACTCTTTGGTTAACCAAGCACGTCGTCGTATACGGCCAAGAGGACGTCGCGCCATGTCGTCCCCACTTGCGCCACATGGGGATGGAATACGCCGCGCTGACGTCGAACTCCTTGAACTTGAAAAAGATGTCGGAACGCACAATTTGCCCCGCAAGGCAGTCCGTTCTCCTTTAGCTCCCAAGTTCGAAATGGAAGTAGGCGCTACGTCGCGCGGTGACCTCTTGTTACTGCTTCACGCGCCCATTTATTTACGAGGGTTCCCTGTTGTTCCCAACTCCCAACTGTGCGTAGTGCCGGGAATTGGTTAACGCATGGCACCGTAACCCTGCTCTTACCCATCCCCAGGCACCATGCAAACTGGGGACTTTATATGGCATAGAATATATGAGGGTCTCATCCAGTAAGGGGGGGGCATGTGGTGTGACAGTTCTTGCCGGCTACAGAAATTCCAATTTTTGCAAGGGGAGGGAATCCCCGGGGTGCGTGAACCATTTCGCTTAAACTTTTACACCCACCCCGGAGCTTCCCTCCCTGAAAAAAGTGGATTACTTCATGCAATATGAACTGTCGCACCACATCCCCCTTACCGGATAAGACCCTATATGAGTATATTTCCTCATTCGGAGACTGAACCTCTCACTCACCATTAATAATGTAGGCGATGATCTGAAGAGCGTAGTGCGATAGTGCTTTGCCATTGTGAATGGCGGCGAGTGAAATATAACTCGTTGTATTGCGGACAAGCTCTTGATTTGACGAGCCGACGGCTTTCATCGCTACCGGCAACGTCAACGTCATCACTGAACGCTTTGCGTAGTGCTGAAAGAAAGGATAGAAAGTTACAAATTACAAGTTATAATTCACAAACAAAAGA